TTATCCTCTGGGGTCTACAGTTTTGTGGCAAAGTCCAAATCAAGGCGTGACTCTGCTCTCACTGGTAGACAAGGGAGGCAGTCAGAGTCCAGATCCAGGCTGGATAATCCCAGCAAGGCAACAGTAGGATTAGGTGGTGTGCAGGTTCTGAGACTTTCAAATCCACAGAAATTCACAGTGAACCTGGCCTCTGGTTGTGGGGATATGGCCTGAGTCATTTAGCTCATAGCACACTGGGTGTCTCTTGCCAACCTGACTATGGCTCCCTGACCACGAACATCTCCCATGGTTGTTCCTCACCCAGTCACTGTGGGAGTTTAACAGTGGGAGCCCTGAGATGAAGCCACCCCAAGGCTTCTCTGAGTCCCAGGTTCAGTTGCCCCCTCCCTAAATGGCATCCGACAAAGCACTCTCTCCAGGTGATATGGCAGACACTTAGACTGGAGCCACTCACCAGCTGTTGTACTCCAAGGCATCCACTGCTCTATTCCTCTGTTCCATTTCTCCCTGAGAGCTTCTGCAGTTGCTGCTTTCACTGTATCTCTAGAGTCAATCTTCCTTTCTCTTGACACAAGCCAGGAGCCAGGGAAAAACTGCAGATTTCCCCTTCCTTTTTCTGCATTGAGGTCTTTCTCTTCAATTTCTCTGTAGGCTCCAATTTTCCTATCAGATCCTTCTTGGGTCCCAGGGATCCAGCTCCCTCTTTCTTTTCTTTCCCAAGTTGTTATTTTCCAGTGTCTGGATTCTGAATCTTGGAGAGGATGATTTAAAACTCCCTACCACTCCACCATCTTTCCAGAAGTCCTGTATATATGCTAGAAATTATTTTTTTGTCTGAGGAGTAGCTAGTAAAAACATTTTTCCATTCTGTGGGTTGTTTCTTCAGTATGTTTGTGGTCTCTTTTGCTGTCCAAAAGCTTTTTAATTTGATTTGATCCCAGTTGTTGATTCTTTGTAATATTTTCTGTGGGATCAGGGTTTTGTTCATAAAATCTTTTCATACACCTATGTCTTCAAGAGTTTTACCTACTCTGTCTTCAGCAGATTGTTTGTTTTTTGTTTTATTTTGTTTTGTTGGTACTGGGGATTGATCTCAGGACCTTGGGTTTTCGAGGCAGGTGGCAGCACCACTGAGCTAAATCCCTGGCCCCAACTGTTTCTGTTTTTATACTTAGATCTTTGATCCATTTCGATTTTAGTTTAGTGCATAGTGAAAGATATAGTCTAGATCTAGTTTTTGACATGTGGAGATTCAGTTTTTCCATTTGTCAAAGAGGCTACCTTTCTTTCAGTGAAGGTATGTGGCCCCTTTGTCAATGATAAGATAGCTGAGTGTGCTTAGAGTTGTTTCTGCATCTCCTATCCTGTTCCACTGACCCTCAGGTCCGTTTTTTGCCTGAACTATGCTGTTTTTATCACAGCAGATTTACGGTATAACTTCAAATCAGAGACTCTAATGCCTCCTGCCTTGAACAGTCTTAAGTGTAAAATAAATAAAATGTCTACATTGGCTGAAATGTGCCATTTTTTTCTACCTCAGACCCTCAACACATGCTGGCCCTTATGCTGGCCCTGTATTCTCTTATCTGCCCCTCATCCTTGCCTCCCATCCCTCATCTAGTTAGGCTCTCAGAGAGCTTTCTGTGATCCCACAAATTTAAATTCCCATACCCTATACGCTCATGTGATCCAGAACAATATATCATCATATATTTGTGATTATATGGTCCATGTCTGATTCTTCCAATTAATTAGGAATTGTATAAAGATAAAAAATTGGCCATTTTATTCTTCATTATATTCTAGGCACCAACCACAGTTGTTAAATGTTTGTTGAATAAGAATTTCTGGTTAGGGCGTGGGGGGTAGCTCAGTGATGGAGTGCCCACCTAGCATGTGCAAGGCCCTGGGTTCAAGTCTCAGTACCAAAAAAAGTAGCAGGAGAAGGAGATGGAGGAGAAGAAAGAGGAGAAATAAGAAAAGGAGGAGGATGAGGAGATCATCCTCATCATCACTCCTGGTCACACAATCCCTGAAGGTGCTTAACATTGAAGATAACCAAAGAACTAAAGGGAGTGGCTGATACCCTCATTTATATGCACTCACCTACTAACTGACTGCAAGCAGGGGAAAACCTGCAAATGAAAATCAAACAAGACTGCCAATTGTTGAGCACCAGTCAGTGACTGTTCTCATTCAACACCATTAACCACAGCATAAGTGCCCTGCTGGCCAACAGACTTGGAGAAGACAGTAAGATTTTGAGATCTCAACCTCAAGAAAATCTCTTCAGCCAATTAGGCTTACCCAGAGAAGAGGTTTTCTAACTGGGGAGGCAAGTTTATAAGAGTGTGTGTGTGTGTGTGTGTAATGAATGGAGAATCTTTCCTATTCTAATGGCCACAGAATAATAACTAAGAGCTATTCCAACTTATTTTGCTGGATAACACTGAGCCACTGGTGTGTGGCATGACAGTCACTAATGACTACCTTATCTCAAATTCAAAGGAGGAAAAGGTCGCTAACTTGATGTTATATAAACACATGGCACCAAATTTTCTAGCAAGCGCTACCCTCAGACAACCATACAATATCACTGCACAAAGTTGCCTCCTCTGAAAACTGTCCCCACTCTCCACCTGGGTTGCCAAAATAATAAGGCAAATACTGAGAAAGAATCATGTTCCTGAATCTTGGAGAATATTTATGAGAGTAAGGTGAACAAATAAAATCAATAGTAGAAAAACAATATGCAACCCACTTCCTTGTTGCCCTAGGCAAATCTGTTGCTTAAACAATAACAACAGAATCTAATCAGTAAACCTCCCAGCTGCCAAAATTATACAAGCAACTTGCCTATTTAAAATGTCACATTTCCCATCTGATATAAATATTTGCCTTCTGCTCACATTCCTGAAGTGTAATACAAATTAGGCTCAAACTGAAATCCACCTTGGCACAAACTATTTAATTTCTTTTTTCCTTTCAAGTGACCCAGATTGTGCATTATGAAAATTGTGAAGCCCTAGTGGTCTTTTCAGTAATTAGAATAGATCACTGAAGCCTGGATCAATTTTCAGCCCAGGATTTGCACATTATTTTACATATGGGAAGGTCCTGACTAGTTCATTCAAGTCCACTGAGTCTAGGTTCAACCTCACTAACCTTTTACACATAAACGCAAGATATCTGACCTCTGGAAAAAATCATACTAGTGAGATGTCTTTAGTCAACTTTTTAAGTAAAGGAATAAGTCTGGTAATTAGAAGGTGCAACTTGAAAAAATGTTTAGTGAAAATAATGAAAAAGGTTAAAAGTCTATTTTACAAGATTGATACAACAAAAACCAGATTTGTTGACTATGTTGGTTTGTTAGTATACAGTTGCTGGCAGAAAATGAAAAGCTTAAACTATCACAAAAACACCCAAATAGGCACTGACTTTTCTGCCCACCTATAAAATTTATTTTATACTGTAAATGTATTATACGCAGACTAGAAACATTGGGCTTGAAGTGTCATCCTGTCATTCTAACTACCTTAGAATCGCCTGGGGTATTGGCCAAAACTGTAGATCACTAGATGCCACCAAAGACCTTGTAAATTAGACTCTTGGGAGCAGGATGTAGGAATCTGCATTTTTTTATGGAAAGTCCCTCCCCAAATCACCAAACCCCAAGCTGTGAGCTGAATCTACAACTGTAACTTCTTGACAGCCTTTGGCTCTCCTTTGTAGTCCAACAGAAGTCCCTCCGCTACTCTTACAAAAATTCAGAGCCTGCCAAGGATTTAGCTCAGTGGTTTCACCACCTGCTGCACAAGCTCAAGGACCCAAGTTCGATCCCCGGTACCAAAAAAAAAAAAAAAAAATAGAGCCACCTAGAGTATGAGGCTGGAGAACTCTTCTTGCAAGATATAATTCCTTTAGATCTCTGATCTCCTTTATATAAGTAACTTCAGAGTTAACTGGTTAATAGAGTGATGGAGAAACAACTCCTTCAGTGGAGTAGTGAGCTGTTTGAGACCAGAATAAAAATGTTAATTGCTTCTAATTAACAAAGCCTCAGCAATTCAAGAAGCCAAAGAACCCAGAGCAAAGGTTTAGAGATCCAATTTACAAATAGTCATCCCTAAACTTTTACTCCCAGCCACTTTTACTCTTCTGATTATGAATAAACTATCCTTTTCCAACAAAAATGGCCATATTCCATGTTTATGACTAAGTAAAAACTGTAAACAACAGTTAAATGTCAACTGACTGCCCCTAAAATTTAACAATGATGTTGAAATATTCTTGCATATTGAATGAAGAATGAGTGTTTTCAAAACAACACTAATTTTAAACATATTTCACAGGTCCTTTGATCAACAGAGGATACCTATGCTTAGGTAGAAATGTTAACCAGGAAAGGAAAAAGTCCTCATCTATATAAACATCAGCAGACTAGCATTAAGCCTCTTCCAGTCCAGACCATACTGGAACACACCCAGAAGAAATGTTTATAATATATCTTTAGTCTTAAGTGTTTAAGTTTACATATTTAATAAATATTTTCTAAAAGAAAAAATTTGAATTTTATTTATTTTTATGATCAATTCTGATTTTTTTATGATTTTATGGCCAATTAATATTTTGTGTGTCCCTCAGATAAAATAACCTCAATTTACAACATTGCATTTCTAGGAAATAAGAGGTTGCCTTTATAATAGCTGTTCTGAAACAATTATTCACGAATCACTTATGTGGTGAATTGTAGACATGCAGTAGGGCAGCTTTATTTCACTTAACTCCAAAGGTTTTATAATCCTCAAGAGGCTTTCACCAAACTGGTGAGACCTCTGTTTTTGAAAAAGAAATTTCACAACTTCAGTCTTTCCTACTTCAGGGGAGGTGGAGGTAAGGATTGGCCTACCCCAATAAAAGAAAAAAGAACGCTGTCTAAAGCCTCAATGGTAGTTTCGAGAAAGAGGTGAAGTATGAAAAAGAAATAGAAAGCATACCTTTGCTCGTTTGGGGCTTCATTTCATCTACATCCAAATCTTCTAAATCTAAGAAATTGTTCACCTAGAAAAAGAAGTAACATCATTTTATGCATATTAGACTTTTAAAAAATGCAGTGAAGTCATGAATCCACTTCCACAACACTCAGCTGAGCAGCTGAATCTACTTTCTCATTAATTCTTAAGTCCCAGCTCAAAGCTTTTGTGTTCCTGTGCTTTCCCATCTGAAAGCAGCAGTAAATTTGGAAGCTGGCCTGGATTTTATAGGCAATATAGTCATCTCTCTATAGTGAAAGGGGGAAAAAAAAACAGGCTGCAAGTTTTTCAAAAGGAACTTTGTTCCAGATTCTAACTCAGAATATACACCACAATCATGATGGTCCTAAACAGGACTTCTGTTTTTTGTTTCTCTTGTATTGCATCTCAAGGAAATAGTGGTAGTAGATCTGGCTGTCATCGTAATGGTGTGCTGTAAGAATATAGCACTCTGAAAAGCCAGACAGAAGAAACTAAAGAAAGCAGGAGAGAAAGGTTCATTCAAAACAAAATCATCCTGCCCCACGTAAATCACAAGAGAGGTGAGCAGGGTGAAAAAATCAAGTGTTCTCTCTTTCGAACAAATAAAACTGAAAATTACTTCAAAGGTAAAAAACACAGCAAATGACCTTTACAGAGACAATAGCATCATTTCAATGAAAAACAATTCCATATGGAATACTGCTTTCCACTGCAAGTTGACAATCAGACATTTTAGATTAACAAAATGCCAACATTTCAGACATGTACTAATGCATCACAGAGGAATATCAAAGAGTGTAAGAAAATGATTTCACCACTGGCATGAATGACAAGTATTAAAGGCATAAGGTTATGATGCTTTTTATGCTCATGACCTAAACATGCGCATAACAAAATACCTTAAAATTACATATTTAGATTTCATAATTGCAATTCAAAAGACAGACTTTTTCCCCTTACTCTACTTGTAATAGCCAGACCACAGCCATTCCATAGGAATTTAAAATGGTAGTTTCCATTGCTTAGAAATATAAAACTGCAATTATTACTTGGCATCCCAATGACAGCAAAAATATATCTTCTATATGAATGTTTCAGTACTAGATCCTGTTGTATTGTCATTTTCTGAATGGTCTATGCTAAGGGGGACTGGAGACACATTTTTCTATTAAAGCACCCCTTCCATGTGTTAAAGAAAATATATCTAAAACTCAACCAAGAAAAGATAGTTTTAAAATATTAAAACACCAATTTAAAAAAAAAAAAGTCAAGGACCAAATCTGCCAAACTCTCCAACTTTATACAAAGGAAAGCAAATGAGTTTGTGGTTTTGTTTGTTTGTATTTTTCTGCCATAGAAGAAAGCTAAATTATGCCTTACCTTCACCTTTCCTGCCCGGTTCAGATCACCTTGAAAGAAACTGCCAACCTTCTGGCCTTCATCCAACACTATCTGAAAATACAGTGAGGACATGTGGATGGGAAAACAAAGTAACTGATCTTATAGCTTTTTTAGTTGTTGTTAGTTAGCTCTATATGAAAGACCAGATTCTCTATCAGCATAGAAGTGGTCAGACAGTAAGTTTCAGAAGTCTCACAAGACCCATCTACACTGTAACCCACAGTAGATTACCTAATCCCAGAGTTCTTGTGTGTAAAACAAGGATATTCTTCACCTCCTCTCCCATCCCAAGGAACCTCTGATGGACAAATCAGAAAACTTTAACATAATATTTTCTTGTTAGAAAATAATTGTCATTCAATAATCATTTGCTTCTTACAAGCTGATCAAACACACAATATGCAGTATAATCCAAATACTTGCTCATAAAGTGTAAATCCTCAAAGGGAAAAAGTTCATCTCTCACAATCATCTTACTGAAAGTAAGATCTGGAAATAAAGGTTTACAGATTTATTGGCCTCTGCTGCATATAAACACATTTCCAACACAGAGATTTTTGTTTCCTTGTATAAAATCACAATCACTTCCACAATTTGATCACAATACCAATGGGAGACAAGATAAGGCAGAAGTAGAAACTCAAATGGCTTGAAAGATAGAATAGTATCCACTATCATTCTTTAGTAATTAAAAAACATGGCCCAGGAAAATATGAATGGTCTATAAAGTCTTGAAGATTAGGAAGAAAGCATCCAACATTTATTGACCAAATCTTGGAAAACCAAGATAATAGTTCCTCTATCTTTAAGTTTGAAGAAGATTGTCTTAGTTACTCTTCTCATTATTAAGACAAAATACTTGACACCCAAAGTTAAAGGAGGAAAGGTTTATTTATCTCAGAGTTTATAGAGGTTTCAGTCCATAATCAACTGGCTCTAAGGTAGGGTGGCATGGCAGAGGGGCATCACAGAGGAGAAACAGTTTGTGGTCAGCAGAAAGTAACAAAGCAACAAGGGACAACCACAGCTCTTTGTATCCCTTGTATCTTATCCAGGCTACTTAGGGCGTAGCACTCTCACCTTTAATCCTAGTGCTCTTGATCCTAGCATTGCACCATGAATCAATTCCAGTGTCCCACACACTAGATCCAGCTACCTCTGAAAAAGCCAAACCTATGACCACATGAGGCTTTGAGAGGACATCTAAACACAAGCCATTGCAAAGATGAATCTAGGATAGGTAAAACAAAGTCCTATTTTACACAAAGAAGTATAAAAAGGAACCCTTTCATCCCAAACAAAAGGGATACAAATACTATACAAAGAATTTACAGATAACAGATTCTTTTTTTTTTTTTTGTACCGGGGATCAAACTCAGGACTTGAGCTTGTGAGGCAGGCAGTGGAACCACTGAGCTAAATCCCCGGCCCCCAGATAACAGATTCTTAAGAGGTTTTTAATGAAACTTGAAGATAACCAAGTTACTATCACAAATGATGGCTGTTGAAATACTGAAACGTAATCATGATTTTCAGACAAGTGCCCCATGACATTCCTTCTAGAATTAAGAGTTAGAAATCTAGTCACTGGCCAATGTTTCTTATGGTCTCTTTTTTTTTAGTTCATAAACAATGCTTCTTTCCTTGGATTTTTTCGATAAATATGCTAAAATATTACCTGTTCTTCTTCTAAACACTCTGATGAGGTACAAAGAAAAGTAGATGTATTTCTAAGATGGTGGTCATGCAGTTCATTTTTGTGAGTAAATTCTAGTGAGGTAAATGTGTTTCCTGAAGCAACCGGCCCAAATGCTCCCTTTTCAGTCACATTATTCTCTGAAATAATAAATTATATATTGTTAGAAAATATCCATTATACCAAGTTTGCTTTATTTTGTGTTTATTGAGAAACTTTCGTCCAAGAAAAAGGATACTTTTCAAAGAAACCTACAAACTGAATTCTTCAGGCATTAAACACTCTTAAATATAAAGTTATTTCCAACATGCACAAGATAACTATTTCATTCAACATTCAACAAACATTAATTGAATACTTGCTATGAATTCAGCATTGTACTTGGCCATAATTAAAAGGCCAGTATTGCTAGACTTTTAGGCATTACTTATTCTATTTTTTTCTAAATTTAAGAAGTTTTATCTTATATGGAAGTAATGTATGGATGATTTTTTAAAATTTATAAGAGAAAAAAGTAAAATACAAAAACCACTAATAGGGCCAGGGATTTAGTTCAGTGGTTCCACTGCCTGCCTCGCAAGCACAAGGTCCTGAGTTCAATCCCCAGTACCAAAAAAAAAAAAAAACTCATAGTCCTACAAGCCAGAATAACCACAACAAAATGCTTTCAGTGGCTCCTTTCACACATCCCTGTACTTTTAAAAATCAAAATAAAATCATACCATACATATTATGATTCAATTTGCAGCAATGTTTCTTTTCATCTTATTGAATATTTTTGTGTAAATTTAACAGCAATGCAATTGCATTGCATCAATGTAAAATCATTTACTGAACCAATCTCTTATTCTAAATGCTGCAATTATTAACAATAATACCTGTAAATTAAATCTATGAATGTTCATGATTATCTATTAGGATAAGAATAGAGCCTGCAATTAATCCAAAATTAAGACACTGAGAAAATTATAATATTATGGTGCCATTAACAGAAATATGGGAGAGAAAAATGCAATAAGTTAGGTGAAAGATAGTAAATCTAGTTTTGGCCATGTGGCATTTGAGCTACTGGTGGAAACTATAGTACAAAGGACTCAAACACAGTTGCAAATGTAGGGAGAAATATCATAGCTACAGGAAATTATGTGCCCATCAATTACACCGAGGTAATGGTAAGTCATAAAATTATTTTTAATACTGTAGTGATATTAAAACTAATGTATTGGTCAGGGATTTAGCTCAGTGGTTCTGCCACCTGCTTCACAAGTACAAGGTCCCAAGTTCGATCCCCAGTACCAAAACAAAACAAAACAAAACTAATGTAAGAAGTTAACATTTATTGGGTGTCAAATACTTATGCCCATCTCACGAGTCATCTTATTTAAGCCATGCAATACCCCCGGAGGGAAGGACTGTTACCATCCCCACTTTACAGATAAGAAAACCAAGGCCAACAGAGAGATTAAGCAATTCCTTCAAAGCTATACAGGTGCTAAGTAGCAGAATGGAAGTCTGAACCCAGTCTTTGAACTCCAGAATCTATCCTCCCAACCACTGTGCTTTGCTACCTAGAATGATATAGCAGACGACAGGAAAAGGTCCTTACAGAACACAAGAACAAAGAAGTACAAAAAGGGGGGCAGGGATCCTAGACAGGAAATGAAGAAAAGCACACAATAATCAAAGAACAACCAGGGTAGCAGAGTATATCCCAAAACTGAAACTTGCTTGTTGTCAAAATGGCAAATATAGAAATCTATGTCTATGATTAGAGAGTGATAAAGGAATACAAAAGTGATCAAAGAACCGAAATCAAGCCATTGCTGGGTTGGGGCATCTTGTTCTATTCCCTTACTAGACTCTACCATGCAAATGTTTCAGAGATGAAGGGTTATTTTATCTATGAAGTCCTTAGACAAGCTTCTAACTGAAGGAGTTATGAGATAACCTGAGCCGGAAAAGTTACTGTAGTTGTTTTTCTTGAGCCACCAGGTACATGGCATCAAAACCACTGAGACTGTTGTAATGATCATGGCCTGATGCAAGACCAGCTGAAATCGTTTACTTCTAAACACCTTATCATTGATAGAATTAAGACTTGCGGGACGTCATTAGAATATTAACACAGAAATTCTGTTGAGGAACAGAGATAAGGTAGCCTGGTGTATCGTTAGTAAGCCAGAGAAGGAAAACACAAATACTGAATGCATCACTTTCTGTTTTAAAAAGTCATATCCATAAATAACACACACGCAAACCAGTTCTACACTACTGCCTCGGGCACCAGCACCCACAACTCCTAACAATTCCTGGGAGAGGTGAGCCCTGCCTTTTGGCCCCAACCAATCCCTAGAAACTCGGGTGTGAAGCACTAGTCTTGGATGCTGGGAAGAGTACCTGGAAGGCTGAGCAAGCAGTTGAGAGGGTTGCTAAGAATAGTGCTGGGGCAACCAGTGCCATGAAGGATCACAGAAGTGAGATGGAAAAGGTCTTAGAACTTAGTCTCCTAGACATCCTCCTCTATAGATAGCCACAGCGATGTCCTGAATTAATCACATGGTAACAATAACCAGTGGTACTAGGATAAAGCAAGAAAGATATGGATACACTTGGAAAAAGGGGTAATCAACAGAAGAATGAAAGAGCTCCTCAAACTTCAGGGAAGTTAGGAAGTTGATCTCTTGTGGCTACCACAGTTTTCCCAGTTTATCCTTTAAGTCAAGCACAACCTAAATCTGGGATTTATGAAGGAAAGACTATTGACCCACCACAACACTACAGTAACAGTGACTTAAACAAATGAAAAGCCCAGCGATGTATGAAAATGACTGATGTTCTGGAAGGACAAGTTCTATTTGTTCTCACTCAATATGCTCCTCTACCAGTTCAAGAAGACACTCAGGTTATCTGCCAGTTAACCATATCAAACGCCTTTGAAACAAAAAGCAAAACATAGTGAAGTCCCACCTATACTGAACTACTGATGAAGTCTCAGATCTAACAAAAACTCTTCCCACTCTTTGAAAACTGCTCCCTTTTGTAAATATAAAATTTTTATTTTTAAAATACCACAAGGTATATAAAAGAACCTATTCTCTCTCTGATTAAAACTTCAGTTTAAAGGTCCTTCCTCAACCTTGAAATTACTTCCACAAGGATATATTTTATATCGCTCCAAAGACCTAAAAGCACTTTTTATAAAGGCTTTTATCCAGTTTTTAAACCTACTGAATACTAAATCTCTTGGCAGAAAGTGATAGGAAAAAAGTTCTTTTTCAATATGATAATGTCAAAATGGCAGATGCTGGCACAGCCCAGGCTCCGGAGAGCCCGACAGTCTGATCAGAAGCCAGATGTTGCTTCCCGGGGTGATCCTAGTGGTGATCCACACGTGCCACCCAACTGTTCATCTCACCTTCTTCTGTTTCTGTTTTTATCACAGACCTTTTCTATCGTTTCATCTTATCCCTAATGTTTCTTGCTTTGAAATCCGTGTCAGGCATGATACAGTTTAGAAATCTAATAGCAATGTTTCAGAGAACAAGTAGGTTATTGAGACCTGAAAGAGTATTTCTTTGGGCATTTCTGAGTCAAAACTTCAATACAGATGAGACAAAAGTTTTTTCTAAAGGTTTTCAGAGGTTTCATTATTCTGAAGCAATGGAATTTCAATTTCCTTTTGATACCAAACAGACAAGCTTCCAACAGATCTGCCTTACAAGGCCACCACTACACCTTCAGTGTCTAATTTCAGACCAAAGAGAAAGGTTACACTCCTTGAAAAGGTGAAAACTTTTGATGCCTTCATAAATTAGATACTAAGCACATATTGATTATGTATCTTCCAGGTGAAAACGATTACTTTTGGAAAACTCAATGTGGAAAGAAATTGTTTTATAAACTTCAAATTCACCCATGCAGAGCCAGACTGGTATCTATGTACCGAAAGCACTACAACATTTGCAGTAGGTTTCACAGATCAGCACAACCAACATCAGAATTCATGATCAACCCTGCCAGCAGCCTCAAAGTGTCTGTTCTTCTGCACCATGGTCAAGAGCAATATAAATCAAGAGTGTGTTCTCAGTCACAATGAGATACTGAATATATTGCTAGAAGGGAAGAAAAAAATCATAGGGGGAATATTCGGTACAACAACGGGCAGCTGCTAAAAAAGCCTTCTGCAAAGAGAGTAGAGGATAAGCAATCATGCTTATAACAAGGCTGGGCACCTTGAAAGTCAGGGTGATTTTCACATTATGCTCCTAGCCTAGAGCAATGTTTCTCTGGACAATAATATTTGCTCTTGATTCATCTAGCCAAACGACTTCACTCCACTGCTTCTGGATCACATGCTTCTTGGTATCTGGCCTCCCCTGGAGCAAGAGTCATTAGGATTAAATAAGCAATTTTAGAACCAATCAATCATAAATCAGAATAAACCTAAAGAAGCTAAATTCAGCACACAAATGTTTTATCTAAATTCCCTTTGCAGTGCTCTGAATTCCAACTGTTTCATGTTCTCCATTTGAAAGGGCACAGGGAGGAGAGGATTACCTCAGCCTGGCCAGTCAGGAATAACTGTGCTTTCCCCAAGGCTGGATGATAATTGACTCATTATTCACAGTCATAGCCATCAACCTGCCAAGACACAAATGCTCCACCCTGGCCTGAAAAAAATGTATGTCAAAAAGCCCTAGATGAGGCACACAATGGCAGTAAGATGAATTTTTTTGAAATGTCCAGTATTGGGCAATTACAGAGAGAAAAATGGGAAGACTGCAAAATTGCTGAAAGTTTATTTTCAGGAAGAAAAACTGCATAACAGTTGAGTTATACCACTCCTTAAATCCAAAAGTTATATTCTGGACATCAACTACTTGCAAGATGAGAAAGATAGGTAAGACCCAGTCCCCAGCCTTCCAGAGTTTGCAAACTAGAAACAAGCCATGTATCTACACCACCAAAACAAAAGACACCTACGGCAGACAATATAAGGGGTACAAGTCAGGAAATGGTAAAGTCATAATCAGTTTGGGAAAATCATGAAGGCTTCAGGTAGGAATGGAGCTAGGCTTTGAAAGACAGCTACAATTTCAACAGGTGAGCATTGTGGAGAGGTTATTCCACAAAGAGAAAT